TACAAATTTAATGAACACCTTAAAAGTTTTTAAAGGGTTTTGTAAAAGCAAAAATTTAAAGTCGGGGGGGAGTTGGATTTAAAACCCCTTTATAGTGGTGCCATCAGTGGAGTGAGTTTTTAGGTGTTTTCGGCCCCTTTCTGGAGGGGGGGAAAAGGTGGAAATTTTTTTTTTTGTTTTTTGTTGTCTGTCGAAGTTGGAGCGGTTTTTTGGTTTGAGTGGTTTTTTTTGGAGGAGGAGTTGGGGGCCCGGTTTAAATTTTTTTTTTTGTTGGGGGGAGTGGGCGAAAGGGGATGCAGGGGTAAGTGGGAAAATTGGTAGGGGAGAGGAAAATGGGCTAAGGTAAGGATGAGGAAGGGAAGCTTTGGGTTTGGGGAAAGAGGAAGTGGGTAAGGAGGTTTGGGGGAGGGGTTGGGAGTGCCGGGAGCAGTAGGGGTGTTTGGGGGGAGGGGTGGGAAATTAGTTTAAGAGGGGTGGGGGGGGGGAGGCTGGGGTGGTGGGTGTAGGAAGTGGGGGGCTGGGATGAGAGGGGGGGAGGGGAGGGTTGAAGGGGGTTTTAGAAAAGAAGCAGGAAGGGGGGGATTAAATTTAAAAGGGGGAAAATTGTTTTGCAGACCCGATTAGGTTTTAAAGGGGCATGTGGTGTTGATTGGTTTAAATTGAGGATTACCCTTGCAGAGGGGCAGCAGTGGGGGAGTTGGGGAGTTAGTTTTGTAGTTTAGTTTGGTTTAGGTTTGGAAGGAGAGGGGATTGTAGCCTGTGGTTGGTGTTTGAAGTTTTGTAGAGTAAGAGGGTGACCCCAAATGCGTGGGGTAAAAACCCATGCATTGGGGGTAGGGGAGGAATGTTTGGGAGGGGGGGGGGGTTTTCAGGGAAGGGGGTTTGGGGGGAGAGGGAGGTTGGCTTGGTTGAGGGTGGAGAATTTTCTTTTTGTAGGGCAGGGGAAATTTTCAATGCGGTTTTTGGGGACCCCCCGCAGTTAGAACATTTAAGGGGGAGGGTTGGGAAGTTTTTTCGAAGTGGCCAGTTGGTAACCCTCTGGAGCGGTTTGTGGGAAGTGCTTTAGATTTTGTCGTGGCCCAAATTTTTAGCATTTCAGAAATTGTGTGAAAGGGGTGGGAAAGGGTTTTGGGGTGAAGAGGGGGGTTTGGGGGGAAAAAGCGGATGTTTGGGAAGGATTCCTTGATTTAAAAGGGGAGAGGGATCAGAAGGAGGTTTTTAAACCCGCGTATTTGAGGATGGTACAGTTTTTTGGGTTTGTAAATTTCGTCAAAGGATTTGTTTTAGTACTAAATTTTTTTGAAATTTAAATCTTCTTTGTCTGTGTCATAGGGCCTCAGGGAGAATAGTTACGTGTTTCGCGGATAATGTGCATTTGGCGGTGGCTAGGGTCCAAAAAATAGTGAAGCCCGCTTGAGAAGTTTTTTTTTGGTCTCAGTTCAGGTTTTTACGTTTCGTAAGAAAGGTTTTCAAGAAGTAGTTTAAAGCCGAGTTGGTTTTAAAAACTTTCAGCTGAGAGTCCCGTGATCCTGGGGACAATAAATTTCCGGAAAAGTTGTGGCATATCAGATTTGGGGTATTTTTTGGTTAAATGAGAAAAAAAATTGGGTTCGGAAGAGGTTTGAGGCAGGGTTTGGCCTTAGGGTAGGAGGTTTGCAGAGTTTGAGGCAGGGGTTGGCAGTAGAGGAGGAGTGGTAAGGGGGAAAAGGGAAATGGAAGGCATTGAAGGGGTTTGAAATTAGTGTGGAGGCCAAAAAGGGGAGGGGTTTAAATTGGGTAGGCAAGTACGTGTGAAGTAGACCACGTTTCTTGCCCGGCTTTTAAATTTAAAGTTTCTTGTGGAGTCCCCCTGGAGCAGGGAAATTGGAGGTGAGCTGGAAAATTGATGGAGAACCGGGATTTCCCCGAACGGAGAAGAGAGGAACCTTTGGGTGTATGGCGTGCCGGGCCAAAAGTACAGGGTAAGGGTGGAGAAATTCGGGTAGGGAAAAGGGGGTGCAGAGGGGGGTTCCAAACCCTTTGGGGAGGCAGCCCCCCCCCCAAAATCTGAAAGGTGAAAAACGAAAGGGCCCGTAACCCCCACTCGGTGAAGAGTGCAAATCTGGTGTGAGCGTTTAGGGAGCCCAAACAGCTCTTGGCCCTTTACCCAAAATTATAAACCTGTTAAACCCCTTCGACCCAAACATATCCTTTAGAGGTTCTTTTCTTTATTCTCTTGCTTCTTGGCTGGCCCAAAAAAACCCCCAATCCCTTTTTTGGTACTTTTTCTCCGGCCCCCCTCCCTCCTATCAAGACTCATTTTAAAGGGTTCGCCCCTCTCCCAACCCGTAAGATGGGTTAGTCTTGGCTTTAGTTTCCCCCTTCACCAATGTCCCCCTGATGATGTCCTTTTTTCCCAGAGAGAAGGGGGATGAAGGGTTTCTAATCTCCCATATATGAGTCTTTTTTTGATCTAATCTGCCACTGTGTGGACTCCAAAATTCCTTTTTTCCCTTCCCAAGGGGGAAAATTATTCTCAAAAACCCTTTGGTTTTCGTTTGGGTTCCTTTTCCTTTATTTTCTTGCTAATCTTTAAAATAATACTTCGGGGGATGGTTTTTCTTCCCACCCCGATGTGCAACCTTCACTCTGGCTCTTTTCCCTTTTTGGATGACAAACTTTGTCTGTGGCCCCATGTCCGTCTTTTTCCAAACCCTTTTTTTGAACTCCTAAAAATTTGCCCCCTCCCCTTAAGTTTTTAAAACTGAATGTGGAATTTAATTCCTTGTTTCCTTTTCCCTTTTTGTCCATGTCCACCCCCTTTAGATACAGGTTTTTCCTTTTGTTTTTTCCGAAAAACCCAAAGCACCGTGGCATGTACATTCACTACTTTTCCTATATTGCTTTTCCCCCGTCAAGAAAAGTGTTCTTTCTCCTTTTCCCCCGTGCCCTCCCCTCTTGATTCCGTTCCTTCCAGCAGAAAATTTGCACTCTTCATAATTCGGTTTTCCCTTTGGCTACCCTTCCCCTTTTTATAGAATGCCCTTTTTAGTGTAAAAGTAAATTTTTCTTCCAAATCTCTACTCCCGGGAACTTCTATTTGGTTTTAAAATTTTCCCCTTTTCAATCTAACAATTTCTCCCCCCTTAGGGCCTCAAGCTTACCCCTTTCCCCCAGGCTAACACTTTGCCTAAAATTTTTTTAAAACCCCTCTCCCCCTTTCTGAATTTTTTGGTTGTTACTCATTTCTTGTCCTTGTTTCCAATTTTCTTGGAGAAACTGGGCGTTTTCTTTTTGGGAAGGGTTAGGGGGCCCAAAAAATTGTGTTTTGGGGTTGGGGCACTAACAAAGTCTTTTAGTCACGTCCCCAGATCATAGCCCTTCCCTTTGGGCTGGTTTCTGTAAAAAAAGTCTTCCCCACTTCCAAACGAACCCGTCGCCCTCTAGTTGAATCCCCTTAATTTAAAACTTTCCCTTTTATGGGGAAATTTTGCCCGGCTTGTTCTGTAGATGCCTTCCCTCCCCCTTTCATTGGGGAAAAAGCTCAAAATTAGAGCACCCGTGACTTAACCGTTTTTCATTTTTTTTTCTTTTTTTTCTCCCCTTTCCCCCTTTCCCTTTCCCTTTTTTTTTTTGGGTTTTTTCTTTTTTGTCTTTTTTTTCTGTTCCTTCTTCATTTATTTCACCCCTTCCCTTTTCCCCACTTTGTGGGCCCCGCTCTCTTGCAGGCTACCCCTTCCCTTTTTATTGACTGGCTCGTTCCTTATTCCCCACTTCTACCACTACCCCTTCCCAATATACTTTTAATACAAAATGATGAAAAATTTAAAACACATATGCCCGGGGTTGGGAGCTTTGTTGTGGGGGGTTTCGAAACCGTGGTGGCTGGATGGCGAAAAGTTTACGATAGAGATGCCCGGGTGTTTTTCGAAAAAAATTTAATTTCATCTTGTCGGTATTTAACCCTTCTTGTACAAAACTTACTTTCTTTCCCCCCTCTTCCCGCCCAATATAGCCGTCCTGCTCCACTTCTTTTTGTGGACTTTGTAAATGGTCCCAAATTTGGCCAAGTCGTCGTAAACTTCTTTTCCCTTTTTGTGCGGGTTTTTGTGTAAAAAAAAATTCCCCATTTATTTTAGGTTTTTTTGTAAATTTAAATTAATCAAAAAATGGTTCGTGTTAAAATCGTTTTTTTCTAATTTTTTCTTAACATTAATATGAGAAAGGATTTTTAAAAAATTAAGGTGTGTAGGGGTGTTGGTCAATTTTGTGTAAGAAACCGTAAAATTTAATTGATTTTTTCCATAATTTGTAAAAGGGCTTTAAGTCGTCAAGTCCAAAAGTGGAATTTACCTTTGGCGGGTTTAAAACCAAAAGTAGTTGGTTTTTATGGGAAAACTAATCTGATGCCATAATAGGGGGTGTCATTCTGCTAATCGAGTGGGGGCAAACTGGGGTGGAAGCCCCGAATTTGTTGTGGGCAATCAGGTGTTAAAATTTTAGCTTTATTTTAAAAAATTTTGGATTTACTTCCCCTTTTCAATAAGTGTAAATTTTTTCTTTGATCGGCGAAAATTTTGGGCCTGTTGGGTTCCAATGCTCCAAAATTACGCTGCACTCCCCATTTAAAATTTTAAATTTTGATAAAATTCTTCAAAAAAGTTGACCCCGTTTTTTTAAACCCAACACCCTCATGTCTATCAATAATGTTAATTATTTTTAAGAGGCCTAGCTTTTCCCTACGAGGCCCCCTGGGGGGCGGGGAATGGGTTTGGCCGGGGGCCCGTTTTTTTCCCCAAAGATGAGGGGGTTCTTGACTCCTTTTCCCTTTGGGGACAAAAGGTTTTCAGGGAAAACCCCCGACCGGGAGCCAGGCCCCGGGGGACCCCTTGGGAAAAAGGGCCCGGGGCCCGGGGAAAAAACCGGCGAATGACCCCGGGAAAATTTTTAAAATAAATGCATCAAAACCTTAAAAAAAATGCCAAATTTTAAAGGGTCATTATTTAGCCCACTGGGACCTTTTAGGTGTCGGGAGGCCGTGGGCCCGGGGTGTGGCCAGGGCTGCCGCTGTTGTCCTGCTCGCTGTCTGAACCCTGCCCTTCCTCGCCAGCTTTTCCTCGCTTACACGTCCGTCCACGGAGACCCACCGAAGAGATTGGAAGAGTTTGTTGGCTCGAGATACATGCGATCTCTGCAGGAGAGACGTACATTATCATGAAAACGTATTCGGAAAATAAATGAGGAGAAGTGTTTAGATAAAATCTACACTTAAAGTCAGGCAACACCAATAACACTGACCATGCATATAAGCCATTCCTTTGCCCTAAACATTATACAATTCTACTTTATAAAATAATTATAAAAATATTAGATGGCCATTCCAGCAATGATAACTAATTGCAATGCTAAAGTCAACAAAATTCATATAATAAATGCTGGAATGATGTATTTCATAAGAATATTGAGTGGCAAGAAAGGAGGAGGAGGATTATTGGGGCCATATTTGATTATAGGAATGAGTTGGGCCATAGGAAAATGGGCTAAATAAGACGCTTACCGGCAGTGGGTCCAGCGCCTACCACCCCACCACCAGCACCACCACCACCACTACCACCACCACCACCCTCACGCCTTTTCCCACCCATGAAGGAGGAAGACCATGGTGGTTGTGACTGGCCTTCGTAACAGTCTTGGTGGCCAAACGTCTGAAACTGTAGAGTGTAGTCGAGCACGCCGCCGATACCACTATCGGGTGGGAAGCTGAAGGTGGCATAGGGGCAGATCTCGTAAGGCTCATCCACTGCCAGGGAGAAAACCCACCATCAGGAAGACAAGGGAGTGAGAGGATGGTAGATCAAGAAAGGACTGAAGCACAAGGTAGGACATAAGTGACTGGTGACAAAACACTTGAGAAAAGGGAAGAGTAATACAATTACAATACCGCTGACAGTAGTGGACGGTCACTAGAAAATAAAAATTACACACAATATTAGCAGTAAAAATCATTCGTACAAGAGAGAAGCCACTACGAGGATACTAAGAAAAGTCTATATATAAAAACTCTAAGCATTGCTGACATGTTACTAAGAAACAAGACAAGATAGGACAACAAGCAGCCGGTGAGACAAACACAGCCAGCATCAGAGGCACCAAGTTACAAAGCAAACCAGATACGACAGACTTATATAAATTTTAGAAATAAAAAATAGTGTTCAAAGAAAATAAAACTATTAATGTTACCTTTGACGAAAAAAAAAACAGTAACAACTTGGTGAACATAACTCTAGAGAGATTTAACTTAATTATGGCACTGAATTCGAAAATACACATGATTTTATTAATGATTTCTTGTAAATTATATAGACAGGTTTAAAGGCACATAATTCAGTCTGCGTTGATAATGTCTATTCCCAAACTCTTGCTAACTTGCTTAAAAAAAAAACTGTTTTTCCAATAAATTTGTGTTGCATAATTTCGATAATCAAATTCGCCGACGCAAAAATTTTCTGCATTACAAAAGCTGAACAAATTTCTTTTTATTTACCAATACCAGATCTCTGCAGCATCACTTATTTGATCTATATTTTACAAGATTCCAATGTTTCTGGAGTAGTGTGAACTGCAAGAATAATTTTTACAAAAGCATATAGAAAAGTGATTTTCCTCTTTAACTGAGTTCAGAAAATCTTAAGACTGATTCATTTTTG